AATACTGAATCCCTGAAACTAAATTAAGATTTTGGTTTCAATTAACTAGAAATTTATTAATTCAAAAAAAAAATTAAAAATTAGGCTTGAAAGCCAGTCAAAATATTGTTTTTGTTCTTTAATTTTGGAATATTTTTTTCTGTCATTGAATGTAATTTTAATTTTGATTTCAATTTGGTTTGCAATTGTCGAGATTTAAAAAAAAATTATAAGTTTAAATTACGACAAAGTCTTTGTTTTGATTCTAAAATTTTAAAATCAAGTTATAATTTTTTTATTATAGTAAAAATTAGGCATGATCATTATTTTAAAATCATTGATTTCAGTTTTAAAACCATCGATTCCAATTATAAGAATAATAAACTTGAAATTGTACTATTTTTTAGTTGATTTTATAACAGTTAATTTCGGTTTTGTCTTGATTTAAAACCCAAATTAAATAATCTTTTTCAATATTTTTTATTTTTTTAGTTTGTAGCTGAATAATAATAATAATAATAATAATAAACTTGACGGGTACTAGTTTCATATACCATGTTGAGGGGTTTTGCGTTTTATTTTTTTTTTTTCCATCAAAATGAAAAAACAATAACAAAATGTGAGCAATGCCAAAATTTTTGTCGGCAAGGTATACAAGGTGTGATGGCATGACATGAATGAGCAAATTATGCACCTAACTTCATATATATATATATATATATATTATGCAATTGGTTATTAATTTTCTTCTAAACAATTAAGATTATTATATATATATATATATATATATGCCAATTGTTACTATTTTTCTTCTAAACCAATTAGATTACTTTCTATTTTATAGTAAGTGAAATTCACTAGACACTATAGATTATACACATTATATTAAATGAAAATACTTTTTGGAATGATTAGTTCACTTTTTAAAGATGATTAATGATAAATTATTTATGTAATTATTAATTAATGATTAGATCAATATATAAGATTAAAAATCTAAGTTGCTATTGTTGAAAGGATTTTATCTGAATACTAGAAGTGTTCATCAAACTGTCTAAACCTATTCAAACCAACTCAAATCGATTTAGAACCGTAATTTTAAAAGATTAATGATTTGATTTGATTTATATTGTAAATTTAAAATTGAATTTTTGGTTTGGTTTACGGTTTTAGAGTCAAAACCTCCCCAACCGAACCAAATCATTTTATATATATATATATATATAAAAAATTTTAAAAATAATATAATCATTCAAACAATATCAAAATTAATAAAAAATATAAATCATAATAGAAACAACGTCTATTTAAAATAATAAAATGATTTATAATTTTTTTGAGAATAAAATAAATTATAATTTCATTTAAAAAATATTTGATTAAAGTGAGAAAAAAAGAGAAAAATTGCATTTTTTTTATATATGGGAATTCCAATTGGCGGAAATAACATTGTAGTCTATAGTAGGAACAACCATTTCCTTTAAATAACATTCACCAAATTGGTGATAACTTATATAGTGAAGAGAACTTGAACTCAAGACCTCTCAAATCTTATATCTACAACATCAAAAACTTTAAACATACTGGATTGCAAACATTTTTTTCCAACCATATATCTTATTATTATGCACCTACATAGATACCATTTCAAACACTCAAACAAAAAATCTCAAAAGTTATCAACTTAAAAAATAATAATACCCTTATCTTCAAAAAAAATCAATTGCATAAAATCATTTTGTACAATTGGAAATATACTCTAAATGGTTTGGAAATTAATTAAATAATTTAAAATTAGAGTGACTTTAGTTTTCTTTTTCCACATATAGAAACTTTAACCGCCAAAAATAAACGCAAGAGACATTAATGAAAGGTTGTCTTGGTTTAAATTGGTCCTTATCAAAAGCCCCACAGTTAGAAAGACAACCACAAGACAATTTTGGACAATTTTGCAATGAGAGGCTGAATGTACAATCTAGGTATGTGGTTGTGTAAAGACTAAGCAATCAAAGAAGGTTGGAGAAAAAACCCCACCAATGTTGTTGAGAAGTCACTAATTAATTATTAATTAGCTAATTAATTTAATTTAATTTAATTTAATTGGTAGGGTCAAGTTGTTAGAAGAAAATGAATGGGTAGATAAAATGGACAAACATTGGTGTCTTTATCAATGTTGGTTTCACTTCCAACTGTTTGTGTCTGTTCTATCCATGTCCATTTGCAGCCTTCATGTCTGGTTAAAGCGTCTCTTTCTACTTTCTATTTTGTTTTTAAGAGATTCTTTGGAATGTTTCTTCATATTTATTATGATTTGTTTTATTTTTTATTTTGGTTGATTATAGATAGAAATAAATTTTATTTATTTTTCAATATCACAGGTCAATTTTTCTTCCATGTAAAATAAAAACTAATTTTATTGAGAATAATAATTTTGCAAAGAAAAAAAATTATTTTGTATTCATGTATTATCCTTTGAAATGTTTCGTAATATCGTTCAATTATTTATTTATTTATTTTTTAGATACAAGAGAAGGAGAGAGTCCGAAAAAAGAACTAATTAGCCTAAAATATGAATAGAAATAATAGCACGGGTCAATTTTCGCTTGTCAAATTATTTTGTATTTCACAAAAAATAGATAGTTTATGTTGGAAAAATATGTATTCTTTTTATATTCTGAGTATTATTTTTGATTGTTGAAGAGAGAAAAATGAAATAAATTTTTTTTTTTTCTTTTTCATGTTTAGAGGCACAAAAATTCCTACTTGGACAGCACTGTTGGAAGATAAAGCAATGGTTTAATGGAGCAATAAAATGGAATCTTTTCTTGAAAAACCAGTGGTGTCCACATGTTGCTCATTTTTGCAGATTGGTGCAATGTCTGTTTCAAAACAATTAATCTCTCAACCAAATCTTATGTTTCTGCTTCTAATGCCCTATTTCCATTAATACCACTTACAACACTATTACTAATTAGTAATTAGTGTCTTCATTTAATATTAAAGATAAATAATTATGCTATTGCTTTATTAATTAATGATTTAATTGTAATGATTTATCTCAACTTATTGCTTAAGTTTGAAATAGATTGTATTATTTTTTCTTTAGCAAAAATATTTTAGCCTTTGTTTTGAAAGGAGAGGAAATAAAATACTGAAAAAAGGGAAATAATTAGAAACAATCGGTTTTCTTTTAATCGTTATTCTTTCCTCCTATTATTTATATATGACAAAGAGAGAAAATAAATTTACTTTTCTTTATTTGGAAAGGATAAAATTTTAGAAAAATAATATAATATCATTGAAAATTGATAATTAGGATCTCATTTATTTTAAACAATAAAATGTGATTTTTGTTATTATTATTCGTAGAATATATATATATAAACCAAGTCAAACCCTAGTATTTTTTTTAGTTGCATTTTTTGAAAATTAGCATTCTAAAAATATATATCATAAATGCCGAACAATTTGGCTTTTCCTTGGATCTCATATAATCATCAATTTTAGTTTGTCCTTAATCACAATATCACCATCAATATTACCAACCAAATTCCTCTAATCCAAATTCATAATCTTCTATTAAGATTTAACAATGTCCAACTCCCTAACTCATTAATAATGATGTGTCCCCATTTAATTAACCCTAATTAATTCTTTAAAAAATTTCAAATTAATTAGGGAAACATTTACGTACCTAGACGGCTAGACTCGATTTATGGGCTCACTACTAAACCAATACTAGTAAAATAAAATTTTAATTTAATGAGAGTATTTCTAGTTATTCGTTAAAAAAATAAAATGATAATAATTATTTTAAATAAATATTTATTGATTGACTTGGTATATGAGATCATCCGTACACCAGCTATACAGGCAAGTCTTATTCAATTGATTAGACTTCAAATCTGAAAACAACAGTAATAAACTTCAAGCTATTAATTTACACGTTTGTCCTTCTGTTAACCTAAAAATTACTATGACCATATTTGTCTCCTGACCAAAAAATCAGGAACATACTTAACAACCAGTGAAAACAAAGTCTTAGTGTTGACCAATGACCATGCTTAATTAAAACTTAATCCCGAGGTTAAGTTAAAGCCGTTGGCATGGTTAAATTTCCGCAGGATTAGGGACTTGGTCTACAACATTAACTTAACTACGGTCAAATGTATCTAGTTAGGATTAGGGTTTGCCTTGATTTCAGAGCTAAACTACTCGCGATGCCGATGGTTTGACAATAAAGCCAAAATCTCGTTTTTTAGAATTATCCATTTTTTTTAATTAAGAGTGATTAAGAAAATTAATTCATTATTAAATAAATTCTCCCTTTTTAATTTACATATATATAAGATATAATAGATTCACTCCACTTGCTCTTTGTATGACGTGTGTTTCACTCTTATGACAGTTATTTTTAAGATTTTTATATAAATTATTTTTTCATACGCAAAAAATTATTTATTCTTACCTGTATAATTTTTATCTAAATTTAATAAATATTTAATTATTATTTTTTTATTATATATTTATATTTCAATCGGGATAGTGTTTAACCCTTTTTAACTACAGCGATTATATGTGAAATTTGCCTTAAAATATTTAAATATTATGTCTTTCTTATTGTTATGCTTTATTACATAAATTTTTATAATAAAAGATTTCGTGTCAAATTTTAAGCATGAGAATTGAGAAGAAACAGTAGTTGTGAGATTCTAAATGAATTAATTAATTTATGAATTAAATTTGTTTAAATGCAATAATTAAGTTAAAAAAGAAATTAAATTAAAAAAACTCTAAATGAAAGTGTATAGCACACGCGCCGACACAAAAGGAGTGAAGACCAAACCAAACAAAACACTCACGAGTCGTGAGGAAAAAGATCACTAGTTCGAGATCTGAGGAAAGGTTAAAAAAAGGAAAAAAATAAAATAAAATAAATAATAATAAATAAAGTAAAAGTAGGAATTAGAAGAAAAATAAAAATTATAAAGCAGAAATCAAATCATTCGATCAGTTTCACCTGAGTTTTTGTCTGTGGTGGTGGACTTATGAGTTGTGACCCAAAACCATGGAATAAGCTTATTTCAAGGACAGTCTTTCTCTCTCTGCCTCTTAAAAACCACACCCTTTTCTTCTTTCTCTTTCAAAGCTTCAGTCTTTTGCTTAAACACTCCCCCTTGTTCACACCTTTTTACTTTCTTTTGCTTCTTGTTTCCAAGCACCCTTGTCTTTCTGGTTCTCTCTTTTTGGCTTCTGTTTATATTTCATCCCTTTGAGGAAGTAAATTGAATTCTAAATTTTGGTGGGTTTTTCTTCAAAGTTTAATTAAAAGCTCAAAGCCGTTCTTACATTGTCCTCTTGTCTCTCATATTACAGTAAGTATTTCTCTTATTAAGGTTTTGGATAAAGAGATTACAAATTATATGTTTTTTTTTTCCTTGTTTTATAATTATTGGTAAATAATGATGTATTTTTCTATTTTTTTTCCAGGTTTTAATTGTATTATATCCTTTCGAAATCAAATCTCATAATTAATTTGGATTAATTATAGAGTAGCAAATGATTAGAGACTTTGGAGTTATGAAATCCCATCGGGAACAATTGAGAGTTGTTGCAGAGAAATGCTTAGATTCACAGTTATGGCATGCTTGTGCTGGTGGAATGGTACAAATGCCATCTTTGAATTCCAAAGTTTTCTACTTTCCTCAAGGACATGTTGAACATGCCCAAGGGAATGTGGATTTTGGTCATTGCAAGATTCCTGCAATGATTCCTTGCAAGGTGTCTGCTGTTAAGTACTTGGCAGATCCTGAAACTGATGAGGTTTTTGCCAAAATTGGGCTAATCCCTTTGAGTGATAGGGATTTAGTGTTTTTAGAAGCTGATAATGATGATGGGTCGTTTGATGGAAATGCTTCTTCTCAAGAGAAGCCTGCTTCTTTTGCCAAGACCTTGACTCAATCTGATGCTAATAATGGTGGTGGGTTCTCTGTGCCGCGTTATTGTGCTGAAACTATATTTCCAAGATTAGACTATAGTGCTGAGCCTCCCGTGCAGACCATTCTTGCTAAGGATGTACATGGTGAGATTTGGAAATTTAGGCATATTTATAGAGGGACTCCTAGGAGACATTTGTTGACTACTGGCTGGAGTAATTTTGTGAATCAGAAGAAGCTTGTAGCTGGGGATTCTATTGTTTTCTTGAGGGCAGACAATGGAGATCTCTGTGTGGGGATTAGACGCGCTAAGAGAGGGATTGGTGGTGGAAATGAATGTCCATCTGGGTGGAATTCATTTGGAGGTTATTCGGGTTTTTTGAGGGAAGATGAGAGTAAATTGATGAGGAGGAATGGTAATGGTAATGGGGATATGAAAGGGAAAGTGAGAGCTGAGTCTGTTATTCAGGCTGCAACTCTTGCTGCTAATGGTCAACCTTTTGATGCTGTTTACTATCCAAGAGCTAGTACTCCTGAGTTTTGTGTTAAGGCCTCGGCTGTGAGGGCTGCAATGCAGATTCAGTGGTGTCCAGGGATGAGATTCAAAATGGCTTTTGAGACAGAAGATTCATCCCGGATTAGTTGGTTTATGGGAACAATATCTTCTGTTCAGGTTGCGGATCCTATTCGTTGGCCTAGTTCTCCATGGCGGCTTCTACAGGTACTTTATATCCTAATCTTGCATTTAGAGATTTTGATTGTTTGTAGATTATCCATTCTTTTTCTCCTCCTTTTAAAGTTTTAGTGATCAATTTTATTGTCACTATGAGACATATATATCTCTCTCTTTAATGGAAAACTTTGGTACTTTATAATGATTGTGATCTGCAGATTTTTTATCACAAAATCTGATATTTTTCACTGCTCTAAGTACTATTGACAATTATTTTCATGGCAGAGTAGTATGTAGTGAAGTATTTTAATAAGCAATTGGAAGTTTGTGGCATTCTATGTTGTATATGTTCTAATTATTATATCATGCTACCAGAGGCTAAGCCAAGCTCGTAGAAATGGTTCCAATCAGATGAGCATATTGTATGAATTATGAGGTTATTGATTTATTGCATCAGATTTAGTATGCAGAACTTACCCTGCCAACTAGAGTTATTGATTATTTTCATCTTTATGAATTTATCTCTGTATTTACTCGCTATTAATATTCAGTATCATGTGCTTTTGAATGATGGAAATTCGCTGTTATGTAAAATACATATGGCCTGCTAATTCTTGATGCTGCTAGACATTTTCCTACCTTAGGCTTCTTTTCAGTTAAATTACTTGATTTTGATTATAACTTTCCTTCTGAATATCATTTTTCTAATAAATATAAATATAACACTTTCAGGTAGCATGGGATGAGCCGGATTTACTCCAGAATGTGAAGTGTGTTAGCCCATGGCTGGTTGAATTGGTATCAAACATGCCGGCAATTCACCTATCACCCTTTTCACCTCCAAGGAAAAAGTTGAGACTTCCACAGCCTCCAGACTTTCCGTTACTCGGCCATTTTCCAATGCCATCATTTACCAGCAACCCCCTAAATTCAAACAGTCCCTTATGCTGTGTCTCAGATAACATTCCTGCAGGCATACAGGGAGCCAGGCATGCTCAGTATGGACTATCTTCAGCAGATCTCCACTTCAACAAACTGCAGTCGAGTCCGTTTCCAGTTGGGTTTCAGCAGCTCGATTGTGCTGCTCAATTTTCGAGAATCCCCAGTTGCAAGGTCTTGGGAAATACTGAAAATAATGATGATATATCTTGCTTGTTGACAATGGGAAATCCCACAACGGCAAGCTCAAAAGAGAACAGTGAAACTAAGACACCGCATATCTTATTGTTTGGTCAGCTCATTTTCACCGATCAGCAGAGTTTTCAAAGCTGTTCTGGTGATACAAATGGAAATAGTTCATCAGATGGAAATCCAGAGAAGATGATAAATCTTTCTGATGGTCCTGTTTCTGCATTTCATCAGGCTATTCCGCTGGAAAATTCTTCAGATGAAGGGTCTCCTTGGTACCAGAAAACTGATCTTAGCTTGGAGACTGGTCATTGCAAGGTGTTCAGAGAATCAGATGATTTAGGTCGAACACTGGACCTTTCTGTCTTTGGTTCATATGAGGAACTGTACGGAAAACTGGCTAACATGTTTGGCGTCAAGCGATCAGATATGTTTAGCAGTGTGCTTTACCGGGATGCAGCAGGTGCCACCAAACACGCAGGAGATGAACCATTTAGGTAAATTTCATATGCCTTATTATTATTATTTTGGTTTATTTCTTCGTTAGACATTTGTCTAAGTCTTTTTTTTTTTTTTTTTTTTACCAAACACGGAGGAGTTGAACCATTTTAGGGTAAATTTCATATGCCTTTTATTATTATTTTTGGTTATTTCTTCGTTAGACATTTGTCTAAGTCTTTTTTTTTTTTTTTTTTTTTAATTGTCATGGCAGTGAGTTTTTGAAGACAGCAAGGAGGTTAACGATTCTTACAGATTCAGGTAGCGACAACATAGAAACATAGAGAACGATGAACTTCAACTGAAATTGTACAGTTTATTAATCCTATCACTGTAACTTCCAACTTTTTTTTTAGTGGGGAATGTGGGAGAAGCTCACTTGATCCAATTTTGGAATATTGTAGTTAATTTTATTTTGTAGAACAGCTTAATTATGAAATGAATTTCTTCTCAATAGGTGATGCCTAATCTCAGTATGCAAATCTCTTGGTCTTATCTTCTTTCTTTCAGAAATTACCTGCATTAGAAATAGAAATACATGCCCATAGCTGGAAAAATGCCTAACTTTTTCCTTTGTTAATTAGGTTCTGACTAAGCTTCTAAATAATAGATTTTCTTGAGTTAATTTCAAGATATAAACTTCCTATTATAAAGAAGAATTCTTATCTTTTATGTTTCTGGTTGGATCTTGTTGGATCTTTTATGTTTCTTAATTGTTTTGACAAATGCATTTTAGATCCACGAGCCAGGTCTCTTGAAGATCCCAATAAAGGGTACATGTGCCAATTAAACCTTTTGCAAGTCAAAATCTCAAGTTCCCCCGCTTACCATTTGGCTGGAAATATTAATTTAAGAGGGTGTTCTGCTTCAGAATTTTCTTACGGCTGATTATAATTAATTTATATATAACACAGCAATTTTCATTATCAGCTGACAGTTAATATTTTTATTTTTTAATACATTAAAATAGAGAATAATATATTTATCTTAAGAAATAAAAATATCTACTTTCACTATCTATAAATATCTATCATATTTACGAAAGTATGTGTCCATAAATAAGTGTTAAATTCATAGACTTCAAGAAATAATACTTTTTTTTTCATTTTTACCCCTTGCAAATGACGAATATTAATTGTTATAATTTTCAAAAGTATCTCTTTTTTATTGTAAACTAGCATTAAAGCACAGGTTTTTTAAAGCTGTGGTTTTTTATTTTTTTTATAAATTTTGTCCAAATTAAATGCTAATTCCAATTTTTTTAAAAATTAATTTGTATAATGAAAGCTTTTAATATTAAATTCAAGATTAATTCTTATATTTACCCCTCAATATGCAGGTTTAAAATTTAAAAATATTTAAATGTTAAAAGTAAAAAAATATAAAGTTCTTGCAAATTTAACCATCTGTTTATCCTTAATTTTTCATCTAAAATTTGCAAATTTACCATCTGTTTATGCCTCCTTAATTTTTCATTCTAAAAAGTTTCAAGTTACAATATTTACTTTTTTTCCGTTGTATAAACTTTAGTTCCAGACTTTTTTTTTTAAAAAAAAAAATAAAATTTAAAAATATTTAAATGTTAAAAGTAAAAAAATATAAAGTTCTTGCAAATTTAACCATCTGTTTATCCTTAATTTTTCATCTAAAAAGTTTCAAGTTACAATATTTATTTTTTCCGTTGTATAAACTTTAGTTCCAGACTTTTTTTTTAAAAAAAAAAAAAAAGAATTGACTGTAAGTACAAATATTCGTAAAAGAGATTAATCTGCAGCTTAATTAAAAACGACAGTTTATGTAAAAGGTTTTTACATCATTAGACAAAAGGAACTAAATCTTAAAGTGATAGCATATAATTTTCCTATAATAATAAATATTAAAAAATGATTACATATAAATATTTAAAATAATAACATTATTTTTAATTGGTTATGCAAATAATAAAAATATAAAATATTATATTTAACGTTTTCATCAAGCAATATCATCTTTATACTTGTAAAGTCTCCATATATTGTTGAAAGACATATCCTACAATCATAATGCCCTCACTTTTATTTTCCAATTATCTCTATTTTTATTCAAATTTTCAATTATACCGTACTTTACTTTTCACTTGTATTTGATAGTTTACGACTGCAAAAATATGTTAAATAATCTTTAAAAAATGAGAAAAAAAAATTTGAGTAAAAACTACTTACTCTATTAGTGGAAATAGTTGAAATGCAGAAAACATTGAACTTTTAAGACAAAACGAATAATATATTCAAAAGAATGAATTAATACACTTTTATCAAAAATACATAGAAATACAGTGATACAACTTATATATATAATATTTTTAAGAAAGTTAATGTGTTTCTCAAAGTGAACAATTTAAAATTTAAAAAAAGTGTATTACTACACCATTTAAAAAAAATATTAAACGGAAACACTAATAAAAATATACGAATAACCAAATCAAACCAAACGAAAAACACTAATTCAAAATAAATTCAAATCAAAACAATACATTAAATAATCAAATCAAACCAAATTTAAAACACTAATTCAAAATAAATTCAAACCAAACCAATACATTAATATATTGAATAATCAAATCAAATCAAACCAGAAACACTAATTATAAAAAAAATGCCAAGTGCAGCTTAATTGAAAAAATATGCCACATGTAAAATTAAAATGCCAAGTGGATATGCCACACGTCAACTTTCTAGGAAAAAAATGTTTGCTTTATATATATTGATGTAATCAATTTACTTGATAATTTACTACAAATTAAATAAATTAAATAGTATTCTTAAGGGATGAAAAAAAGTATAAATGTGATAGTTATTTATTGACGGAAGGAACACCTTACATGATAATCTACGAACATAATTATACTGTCAATGGTCATTTTTCATTCTAATTCCAATAATAATAATAATAATAATAATAATTAAAATTTTACAAAACAGCTAATATTCATGAGCAAAAATCTATAGTTATCAAAAGTAAATAAAATAAATAAATTTTAGTAAATTATAAAAAATTTTAAAAAATAAAAAGAGAAAGACATCAATTTTTGTGAACACTTGGAGCTCCTCAATGGACAGGTTCCAAGTTTCCAACCATCGAACCGACTTTTTTGCCGCAAATAGTGAGAAAATAAACTAATACGTATTGGGATTTGAATCGCAATAAAGATTAACCATGGTTAAGAGTTTCTAAGTCACAGCAGAAATATTTTTGCTTTATTAATTTTTTTTTTTTGGTAAATATTAGACAGAGCAGACAAAGATTCATAAGTCGTGGAATGCCATGCTAGTCCTAGTCTACCCCAATACATGTGACATACATAAAGTTGAGGTTGACTTCAACAATATAAAAATTGATACATTAATGTAATTTTCTTGGGATACCAAAAAAGGAACGTTGCTTGAGAAATATTTTTGTTTTAGAAGAAATAATAAATGTTGCACGTGGATTAATTAATTATATAAATCATAACAAAACATTACTATTATATGATGGGCAAATGTCAATAAAACACACACAAAATAGTAATAAGATTTGAGGTTCAATGATAAATTTTTATGCAACCAAATTTAACCATTTTCTCCAAATTATACCCTTTCCTACCAACATTGCCTATAAAATAAAATATATTAAGATAAAATAATAATATTTTCAAGTTAAAAATAAAAATATTTTATTTATTTATATAATATTCACAACAAATAATGATTACCTAAAAATAATATGACTCCGTAATAAATAAAATATATTTTTATAAGAGATTTAATCTAAATATAAATAAAATTTTATGCTTAAAAAACCAAAACAAGAACCTAAACTAATATTTTATGCTTATAACTAACTAAAATTTATTATTTTACTTGACTTTTATGAATTTAAATTCCTAAGAAATATTAGTTAGGGCGTTGCTAATCAGTGAATTTTTAGTTAACTTGATAATAAGAGGGAGAATATAAATCCAACGAAAATAATATTTTATTTATTAAATTGGATACAATTTGAAATTATGGTGCTATTATAATTAAAATTGAAGTTCAGGCACTAGGAGAAGAAAGTTGGATTTATGAACTACTCACAAAGTTTGAAAAATTTTTAACGATTTAGCCCATTTTTTATACGTATATTAATTTATCCTTTAAGTTTAATTGTGTTAAAATTATTTTATTATTCCACAAAAAACATGCTTGCGTGGCTAAGTGTTAATGAAAATAATAAATATGAGGGCTAAAATAGTAATATTATAATGAAAGTGAAGCACCAAAATAATAAAATGTTACAAAATATTAAAAGAATAAGTAGTTTAGCAGAGCTAAACCTTAAGAGTAAATCAATGCACTTACTAAAAATTTAAGACAAAATAGTAATTAGGGATAAACTTCAGCAACAAAATAGTAATTATCCCTAAATTAATACTTGAAACTCATATGCGGTTGTAATAGTTTTTATTTGGTAGTGTGAAAGAGTAAAACTCATGTCAATATTAAAAATTAGTTTCTTTATGGTATGACAACAAATTAAATTTAACTATTATATTTTTGTTTAAAAAAAAAGAAAAAATAAAAAAGAAAAAAAGAGTCAACAGTTTGATGTCATGTATCACCAAAGCTAAATGCAAGCTTTTAATAAAGATGTACACATTGCACGCTCTTCATGTCCGGGCGCACGTGACCTCATATCACCAAAAGATAAATTAATATTAATATATATATTAATCACAATCACATTATTTATTTATTTAATAAGAAATTAATTATGTCCCAAGTGGGCTAGGTCAACCGTTCACAACAATGTGTCGTTTTTAAAGAAGAGTCGTATATCAGCTACATGTATGTCGCATGTTGGGTGGAAAATGGGCTGGAACAGGCCCAATTGATATGTTCGGATCTAATCATTTTTGGTTTAGACATTATCACTTCATATTGCTAATAGACTGGGTTATGCTATTCATGTAAAGGATAACCCAAGCCTGCTCGCAAGCAGTCTGAATTCAGCTTAAAAAATATTTAAAAAAATTCGATTCGAATTGAATTCGAGCAAATTTGTTTAGTAAATAAGTCGAATTCGAGCTAATGTATTTAGCTTATAGCTTAAGAGCTAGTTGAGTTTTATAGTGTTTATATATATATATATTCTATTTCGAGCTTCTCAAGCTTAAAATTTTACGAGTTGGATAATTTCTATTGAGCCGAACTTTGATCCTAGGAGATTCGAGCTTGGCTCAACTCATTTACACTCTCATAATGTTATCTGTCCACCGTTCTAAAAGAATTTAAGTCTAAATTTGAATGAATTCTACAAGCCTTGATTCGGTCAAATTTGATTATATTTTTTTTATTTATTTGTTCAAAATTTAAGCACATATTATTGAAAAAAAAAAAAGGAATAGTAATATGTTTTAGTTATTTCAAATTTAAAATTCTCATGTTCTTTTCGTGATAATAATAATAACAATTACATATAGTTTGAATAATGTCTTTCAAAAATAAAAATACACATAGGTCCTTATTAAATTGCAATTTCATATCCAAAATTATTATATGTTCCATCAATAACAATAACTTTACTTCAAAAAAGATTTGTGCATTTTCAATTTTGGCTTCAAAATAGGATAAATATAAATTCATAGTATATATTAAAAAGAAATGTTGAAAGTAGACAATCGAATTGAAGGTTCACCAAATTAATTTAAAAAAAAAAAAATCCTTAGTGTTAATAATTTTAATAAGTAGAAACTGTTTATAAGCGTAATTAAATTAAATAGAGTAATTATTTTTTGTGACAGCAAGCTCAATTTGGTTGAGAAGAAATCAATATATTTTTTCAAATATTAGATTTGAAAAGGATAAAAGATGGATGAGATTAAATTTAAAAGCCTTTTTGGTTAAATGATTGGATTTCTTTCCCTTCATTGGTTTGAAAGAGCAAGATGCCTAGAAAGGTTGAAAGAAATTTATTTTGATCCATTTTTTGGCAATGCCAACCGGAGTGTGCTTTAAAATTTAATGTGGATGAAACTGCAAGAGGAAAACCATGGCCAACTGGTATTGACGGTGTTTTAAGAAACTCTCTTGGTTCAATTATATATGTTTTTTATTAATCGGTAGGAATCTTAGATTCTAATGAAGATGAATTATTAGAAATTTTTAAAGCTGTTGAGTTGTTTAGTCATTGTGATAATTCTTCTATGCATCTCATTGTTGAATCATATCCTAGAAATGTCGTTTTTTTAGTCTCATAAAAAGATAAGCGGTCATGGCAATGGTGGGATCGTTTTAACAAATTTGATTCCTTGCTATGTTCTTTAGTTCAGGTTGATTTTAATTTTGTCAACAAAGATTGTAATTATTTTGCAGACTGTTTAGCTAAGAAGGAAATGTATGCTGCAGAACCTTTTTTTAGCATGGCTTTAAAGTTTGGTTTATTTATGTAATAGCATAGTTATGTTTTTTTTTTTTCTTTTTTTTTTCCTTTTTTCTTATCTCAAGAAGAGATCTGATGGATGTCCCTTCTAGTTTTATTCTACTGAAGAATTTTTATCAGATTTTTTCACTTAATTTGTTTAGGTTACGCTCGGGGGAACCTGTTGGCTGAGGTTAGATTACTTAGATAAGTTAAGTTTTTCCTGACATATTTTATTATATAATAAAATAAATTAATTTCGCTGATCAAAAAAAAATTAACACTTTATAATGTTATGAGTTTAATCAACTAAAATCTTTTGTAATTATAATTAGATTAATTAAAGAATTAGCTATTTTTTTCAGAACAAGTATAAATTCACATATACTACTACAGATTTAAAACATTACATCGTAGTACTATATGAATTTAAAATAAAAATTGTTGATTTCTTTAAATCAAATAATAGCTATAATAAGTAATATGACTAAAAATACAATACTTATGTGAGTAATCTAATTAAGAATAATTCTCTAATTTGATGAAGTAAAAGTCCCGAATGTAAGTAATTCAATCTACTATAAATTTTTTATGTATGTAATTCAATTCAATATATTAATTGTGTTTAATTAAATTAATTAGTATTTTTCAATATCCTAAGGCTATGTTTGGTTTGATGTAAAGCAATGTAATGTAATCAAAGATGTAATGCAATAAAAAATGTAATGTAATGGAATAGAATGTAATTGAGATTTTGTTACTATGTTTACGAACAAAAGCATAAATTGCCCCTTAAACTTTTAAAAAAAAATCCTACGACATCCTTAACTTTGTGAAGACTCGTTTATGTATTTGAAGTGCACTTTTTTATATCATTGTGCACCTTTTCGTGCTAGCAAATAAGAGAGTATAATTAATCGCAGGTAGAAGCGCGAAGTATATAAATTTACGCCAACTTGGAAAAAATGTTTATATTAGCTTCTTTAAGTCCATTTAAACTGCAGATGAACTGTGTGGAAGGGCGCTCTTCAATTATTAATAATAAAAAATTAAATCAAAAGTTATTAATTATATCAAGCTATTAAGGACTATTTAGACTGAAAAATTTTTAAAAAAATAGGCCAAAAAAAAATGATGTAACAAAATAAAAGTTAAAGTCATTGACAATTAATTTTTTTACACAATTTTATATATTTTTATTAAATAAATTAAATTACAACATAAAATTATGGTATTTTGATATTTTTAGTGATTTTCCATTCACCTCTTTCTATTCCTATAACAATAAAAAGATAATTAATAAAGATGTGGTAGTGGTGGTGATGGTGGTGGTTGAGTAGTGGTTGAGGTGGTGGTGGTAGTGGTGGTGGTGGTTGCAGTGGTGATTATGGTGGCGGTGATATAGTGGTGGAGCAGTGGTTATAGTGGTTGTGGTAGTGCTTGCAGTGGTAATAATGGGTTGGTGGTGGTGATAATGGTGGTGGTGATTAAGAATAGGTATAGTCTTTGAGGAATGTAGTGGGCTTTCCATATAGATTTTTTAATGTAACGAATATTCATCAATTTAAATAATGAAGATTACATATGTAATCTCAATTATATTACAAAGTTAAAAAAGTCTAACCAAATAATGTAATTAACTATTTAATGTAATTCACATTCCATTACATGGTTAGTTACATCATACCAAATATAGTCTTGGTTTGATGTAATGCAATCAAAGATGTAATCTAATAAAAAATATAATGGAGCAGAATGAAATTAAAATTGCATTATTATGTTGAGTAATGTAATTGAAAAGCTTTAATCATTTAATTTTTATATTTGTTCACAAATATGCATTAGCACACCACCACCACCACCACTCCACCTTCACAACCACCACAACTACAACTCTACTACCACAACCACCACCATTACCACATCATTATTAGTAAAAGGTAAATGTTTGAATCAAAAGTTGTTGATTGTATCAAGCTATTAAAGATTATTTAAACTTATAAACTAAAAACTGTTTGGACTAAAAAATTAAACAAAAAAAAGTCGAAAAAAATGTAATGTGACAAAATAAAAGTTAAAGTCTTTGAAAATTATTATTTTTACACCTTTTTATATATTTTCGTTGAATAAATTACATTACAATATAAAATTATGTATTTTAATCGTTTTAATAATTATTCATTTCATTCTTTATATTCCTATAATAATAATAAAAATAATTAATAATAATGCAGCGGTATTGCAGTAGTTATGGTGGTGGAATAATGGCTGCAATGGTGGTTGAGAATGGTTATAAGTTTTGAGAAATGTAATGGGCTTTACATATAAAATTTTAATTACATTGCATGATTAAAAAAAAAATCTAGCGAAACGATACACATATAATGTAATTTTCATTCCATTTCGTGGTTGAATATACCGTACCAAATATAGCTGAGAATTCAAAATAACTTTTTGACAAATGACGTAGCGATGGCACTATTAAACGATAACTCGATAAATGTAGTTAATTAAATTAAATATACTATTTTATTCATAAAATCGTTAAATATAGTTGATTAAATTACTATATTTATTGAAAAATGTAATTGAAACAAAAGTAAGCAAAATTTTATTTTTATATTTTAGATTCTGTTTCTTTCCATAAAATAATTTGTAGAAAAATAACTTGATAAAAAATATTTTCATGGAAAACATTTTTCTTCAAAAATATTTTCCAAATGACTTATTTTCCATTGTTTAGTTGTAATATTGAAAATTAGTTCGATAAAATGTAGTTAATTGAAAAATTAAATATACTATTTTATTCATAAAATCGTTAAAATACATAGTTTTTGATTAAATTACTTTATTTATTGAAAAATGTATTGAAACAAAAGTAAGCAAATTTTATTTTTAATATTTTAGATCTGTTTCTTCCATAAACTAATTTGTAAAAAATAACTTGATAAAATATTTTCATGGAAAACATTTTTCTCAAAAAATATTTTTCCCAAAATGACTTATTTTTCACATGTTTTAGTTGTAATATTGAAAATTAGTTAAAATATTAAAGTCTTTTATCTCATAAAAATCATAAAAAAATATTTAATAATAATAGAAATTTAAGCAAATTTTAAAATTTTATTGTTATAGAAAAAGATCTGCATATATTATAATTATGAAGCTGCCTGTAATTGGATGGATAAATGGTGACTCAGTGGTAGTAGCTATGATGATTAATAATTAAAAAACATGGATTTTTATAGATTTGTGCTATATCCGTTAAAAATATTAAAGTCTTTTATCTCATAAAATCATAAAAAAATATTTAATAATAATAGAAATTTTACAATTTAAAAATTTTATTGTTAAATAGGAAAAGACTGCATATATATAAATTATGAAAGCTGCCTGTAATTGATGATAAATGGTGACTAGTGGTAGTAGCTATGATGATTAATAAATTAAAAAACATGGATTTATAAGATTTGCTAATATCCGACGAATGTTTTATCCTCTTGAGAATGATTATTTTACTTAAAAAATGATTTAATTTTTCTTTGACTAGAAAAATATTTTCCGTTGACTTATTCTCAACACTCCAAACAACGGAAAATTGTGAAAAATATTTTCCTACTTTACGGCAACAAACGGAGCCGTAATATTCAATTCAAATGTAATTAGTAATTCATCCTCAAAAAATTATTAACTCTTGAAAAAATCAATATAAAATTCATATAGAAGTTTTCCTCCTATGAAAATAAGGGACAAAACCCCAAAAGAAAAACTAAAAAACTAACTCAGCCAGAGATGAGTCTAGGCCAAGAAGTTCCATACCTGTCCCAACGAAGATGATCCAAGACCAGCAGCGGCGGATCAACAAAAACCATCCTGGAAGAGGGCGCCATGACAGCCATGTTGGCTAGAGAGTCCGCAACCTTGTTAGCTTCCCTGAAACAGTGCAGGAACTTCACCTGCCAATCCCTTGATAGCAACAACTTGATTGAACGAAGCAGATTTAAAAAAAAAAAAATCGTATGAAAATTCATTAGTTTGCCCGAAAAATATTTATTTAATTAATCTAATTATGAATACAACTCTTCCGTGGACTTTTTAAATTCCTTCATCAGCTTTGACCAAAATGACCGAGGAGCCTGCGTAACTGTTTTGCAATATTTAGCCAGAATGATGTGTCATCTTCTACAATCTTTGCTTGATTAAATTCCTTCACCTCAAATGTCATGAATCGATTAAATCTCTTCACTTCATTCCAGAATGACCACCAGAATTCCTTTGCTCGAATACCTTCGTACCTTCTGTACCTGTATTGCAACTCTACACTTATTACTTCTTTTAGAGCTGACCGGAATGAATCATATTGGGCCTCCATACTTATTGCTTCTTCTAGGGCTGATCGAGCTGACTGGAAAAAATTATATTTGTTTTGCAACTCCATACTTATTTCTTCTTCTAGAGCTGACAAGAATAAATTGCATGGTGACTCCATGCTTACTGATTCTTCTACAGCTGATCGCATTCTTATTAATTCTTCTACAGCTGACCGGAACGAATTGTGCTGGGACTCCATATTTATTGCTTCTTTCAGAGCTGACCGCATTCTTATTACCTCTTTTAGAGCTAACTGGATGATTATTACTTCTTCTAGAGCTGACAGAAATAACTTGTATGATGACTTAATATTTGTTGCTTGATCTAGAGCTGACCGGAATGAATTGTATTGCGACTCCATACTTATTGCTTGTTCTGGAGTTGACTGGAATAAACTGTATTGCGACTCCATACTCATTTCTTCAACTGTCAGAATTGACTGAATTAATCCCCGTATTTCGTTCTCACGTACAATGCACATCCCAAAATTTTTGCATCGGTATCTGCTGAAAGTGACTTCCATCTCAGTCGGACTTTGTTCTTCATAAAGATCTATCATGCGATTGGCAACAAAGAAGAAGTAAAGATAGTCTGATTTAAGAAATACATCTCTAGAGAACCCGAGACGATATGAGGTGCTCCATACAAACCCTGTTTTAGCATACACTTTAAATTCACAAGAAGGTAGAGGGAGAGGATACCGTAGGAGACTATTAATCCTAACACAAACAATAAAACCTGCAATGTTCAGCCACTTTTCACATGAAGATAGGCGTTTCTTACTATAGACACTCTGATAGTTGAACCATTCAGGAATTTTAGTTCCAGGTAAACGCACAGAAAATTGAGGGAGCCAATTTATGTTTGCTACTTCAATGCCTTTCTGCATCAAATTTATTACCCATAATAATAAGTTAGCACTTAACACACAAATATTTACTGGGATAAAAAGGAAAGAAAAGAATGATTAGGGAGAGACCTTATGGCAAATTTTTCCAAACTGATCCTTGCTTTGGCACATTTCTTCTATCCTAAGCAGCCGACGGATTTTAAGAAAAGGAAGCATGCAACTTTTCAGCCATCTAAATAATACCACATTGGTATTCTGTTTATAATCATTTAATTTGGAGCAATTTGTGGAATCCATCCGAAAATTCTTTAGATTGTGTTTTTCAGGTAGATGACTAAGTCGAGAAAGACGACTGATGCTTGAAGGTAGGCTTATAAAATTATTTCCACTTAGATCGAGAAATTCCAGCAAGGGGAAGCCTCTGAGGTCACTGGGAATTGCTCCATCACCAAGATTGCAGTAACTTAGATTTAGTTTTTTCAAAGAGGGTACAGCTGACAAAGAAGGAAACACAATGGCCATAGGATTTGAAATCTGTAGTTTTTCCTTTGGCATCAACCATGATGGGAGAAGGAAAGCCCCTTTCTCAGCTAATTCCAGTTCTTGTATACCAATTCCAACTGCATCTAACTCTACCAAACAAGTCATATCCCACAACCTGTCTGGCATTTTCTTTAGTTTTGAACAGCCAAATAACATAAAAGTCTTAAGGGACTTCAAGTCACAAAGGCTATTTGGAAGAGTCACCAGGTTTCTGCATTTCTCCATATTCAGAAAAACAAGCATTTTTAGAACTCCGATAGATTCGTGAACTTCACGCAGACTCTTACATCCTTTAAGATTCAACTCCTTCGGATTTGGGACCTCATGAAAGTCTGGGGTCTTGATTAAGCTTTCAGAGTAACTAAGATCGATGACTTTCAGCATCTCAATGGGCTGTAACGAGATGTACAAAAGAACACATTATTTAATAACACTGATCGAAAGTTCAATCAAGAAGCACATACTTTTATTAATCTCTTCCATAGTTGTTCCATGCAGCTGCATTGCATGTGGAGTTGGACAAGTTCATCTGGCTGAAAATTTGGTGGAAAAGATTCCAAGGATATTTATACCATTCCAAATACATTAATTTATTGGAAAGATATTCAATGTCCTGAGAGGTGTGTACATCTCGGAGTATGAGCAATCTTAGCTCTTTCACTTTGTAAAGACTTTAGCACTCAAGTGTTCCCTTTGTTTCCATGAATGCAGGACTGTATCCTTAACTTGTTTTATTTCCTGATAATTGAAGGTATACAAGAATAATAAACAATAAGAAACAAACCTTAAATTGTTCAGTTACTGAATGGATTGTAATCTGTAACTACAAGTATTGCTTACCATATTCTTTGCTTAAATGTAATAGGCATCCTTCTCAAGCCATAACCTACTAAATAGCGCTGGGTCTTCACGAGATTCTCTACAAACAACTTCTTTTCCCATTTCTTGAAGCAAATGATGCATCCTAAACATATCCAATTTGCGAATTGTTATGAGAGATTTATCAACGAGTTCCCCTATTCCAATATCTGGAAAGAATCTACAACTTTCTAGTACTTTTACCAAATTATCTTTCTCCATTCCATTGAAGAAACATGCAATATGAAGGAAAATTTCTTGTGATTTTTTATTAAGCCCATCATAGCTTAATTGAAGTTTGCATATAATTTTTTCATTAGGAAGTCCTTTGAGTCTATCCAATGCACTGATCCACTCCTTCGTAGATTTACTAGACAAAGAATAACCTAAAACCTCAAGAGCTAAAGGGAGTCCATTGGCATATTTTACAAACTCGTTAGAAAGCTCCACATAATCTTCCATGTGATCATTATTCTTGAAGGCTTTTGAGCAAAAGAGTTTGAAAGGATCCTGATTTTTTAACTCCTCAACCCTTTATATTTCATCTGCTCCGTATTGTTTCAACAGATGTTCATCCCTTGTTATGATGATTCTACTTCCAACACCAAACCATTGTTCATACCTTTTTCCAATCAATAACTCTAATTGCTCTAGCTGATCAACATCATCAAGAATGAACAAAGCCTTTTTACGACGGAATCCATTTCTCATCTCATCGGTTCCTCTATAAACATCATTTACTTGAATGTCTTTATCCGTCAATGTTGCAGATAGAAGTTTTTTCTGTAAAGAAACAATGCCATATTTCCCAGAAGACTCTCTAACATTGTCAAGGAAAAAACTGCCTTAAAAATGACAGTACAATTCCTTGTAAACAACACTAGCAATAGTCGTTTTACCTATTCCGCCCATCCCACATATCCCTATAATTCGAACTTTAATCAGTTGTCCTAAGTCCAAATAATCATATATTATCCGCAACCTGCACTCCATTCCCACAAAATCCTTGGCAATGCTTTGACTTGATCTTCTCAATTGGCCAAGTATGTGTTCAACAATATCTTGAATAAACTCTGACTCATCCCTGTAATGGCAGAGTTGTTATATGTTCAATGAGAAAACAAATAAAAAATAAATGGGTTTTAAATTAGTTTTTCTAAAAATATGTTCAGATCAATAAGAAAAAATAATTCCAGATCTGTCATTTCTTCTCCGTCTTCCCTAAGAATAATTGTAGATTTTATTCATATCATTGAGGACTTCTTTTGCAGTAAAATCTGTCCATAGAATTATATATAATCTAACTTAATCAAAACCAAAGAACAGTAAAACAAAACAAGAATCTAAAAATTAAAATGAAGAATGAAGTTGTTCTAACCTGCCATTTAGATACCGTCCAGAGAGATTGGCCACCTCTGTCGATGCAATTCTCCATCGTCGAACCCTCTTAATGTTGTCTTTGAAAAGTTTTTCATACTCAGTGAAGGGTTCTCCAAATTTACCAGCCTGTTTTCGAACATCACGTGGACTCACATCATAGAAAATGGGCAGAACAGTCTGCCTCCCAGCTTTCTTGCATTCAAAAACTTGTATAAGTTCATTCAAACACCGTTTGGAGTCCGCATAATTTTTCGAAAAATAACTGACCAAGATTCTTGAGTCATGTATTGCTTTAGGGAGCTGGTGAGGGATGGGAACTCCTTTTTGAAGCTCTCTATCGTTCTTGAAGGTAATGATCTCTTTTCGACACAACTCTCTATGCAGATGGCTAGCAAAATTACTTCGAGTGTCTTCACCACTGAAACCAAGGAACACATCCGATTTCCATTGTTGTGCGGAAGGAGCCACAGCTGCAGAAGCAAGAGCCATGAGAGAATTTTCCTCTTTTTTTGGACTATGTTGTGGGCTTCTTTACTAGAATTTATCAACTATGTATTCTTGAATTGCCATGCATTATTGTTATCTGTCGTTCACGAAGGTAAGCTCTAGATAAACTTTTCCCCTTCTCTTTATCTAATAACTGCTCTATTAATTGTGGATTTGAAGGTGAGTTGGTTGAGTGGTTAATCAATGTGGAGAAGTTGGCTTTAACGTTTATTTGAATAATTATTTTTCTCTTTTCTAAAATAAGATATTAAGGATTATTTTAATAAATTCTTCAAAATCCTGGATTTTTTTTAATGATTTGTTAGCGAGTGTCCTCGTAAGTGGAGATGCACACTGAAGATGTAACCATGCTTCTAAGCATGAAAATATTACTGTAACAGGAAAGCCAATAGAGTTTGCTAGAGTATTCTCAGCAACAAAAAGTTCATCTAATTATGATTTAACTTAAATTCAGATCCACAACAATTTCAAACTGACCATCACACCTCCAAATAAACTTGCAATTAAAAAAGGAAAATGTTCAGTTTACTTTGAATGTTAATTTGATATCCAAATATGATAATTGGATTACCCTCACAATGTGTAGGCATTCAACTATAGTTCACAAGATACTTATAACAACTCCTGTGTAATAATTCAATTCAGTTCAACTCAATTCAGAATTAAATCTTTCGTATGCGTGTGCGCGCGCCAAAAACTTCCAGGTATTAAATCATATCAAACATTAGATTATTCGTGGGAAAGAAAAGAACAGTTTGTCCATTACACAATATCAATGGTGCCCATGACTGCTTACATATCTGAATATCATTCAATAAAATCATTTTGCATATCTATCCTGTATTGACCCTGTACCCGAATCAAACGAGAGCACTACTTTGTTGAACTCTCAGTAAAAGAACATTATAAGCAGTAGGCATTTATCTAGATATACTTCCATGTTGAGGTCTAACACCGATTTTTATTTAGTGATACGGTACTAGTCCTGTAACCTCTTGCCAATTTACTTTGAGTAGCTTTATCGAGATCAAAAGCCATAAAAATAAAGAGACAAACAGCCAACCAAACTCTAGCCCTGCGTACAGCGGCCACGCATACTAAATGACAACTCTCACTCATAATGTTAAATCTTCTTTGCATCAATAGACATAAAGATGGGTATTAGCATTTATTTATTTCTTTTTAGCAAAAAGAAAAAAGAACACAAAAATTATGGGCAAGGATTACTACTAGCATCTATCGACTGATTAAAGAAAGGAAATGAGCGTGAACAGCTTTCTTAATTATATCAGACTTTTATCTGGACAAGTAAAATACATAAGAGACTGTTTCCAACACATGGAGTTTCAGTCACAGCCAATTCAAAAATCACTCAATACATACCACAAGAAACCACATTCAATAATTCATTATAAGCCACAGCAGTTCAGAACATGCAGGCTTCACATGTTTCATTAAGCATATATAAGCATCAATGACATATCATTGTATCACTGTTTACTACAGACAGTAAGAAATTACTAGCATGCAGCAGACTTCTCCTCCATGAACATGATGAATTCCAGATTATTTGATTACCTGGATGAACAGCAAAAAGCATCATAAATTTCTTCTTCATTTTCCTTCATTTAATAAGTAATCAATTCATAAAAGGTGGGCAAACAGCAACCAAAAAAAAAAAAAATTTGCAACTACAGTACATTGAAGTTTATAGTCGTGAAGCAGGTTTTTTTTTTCCTTCCAAAAGATTCTCTTTCAAAAGCTTCCTGAAAGAGAATGGAAATATGTAATATAGAACTCCATTTTCAAAAGAAAACCGAACTTTGAATGAAGGTTAGGAGGCTACAGAAAATGTTTTCAACCCCAACACAGTATGCAATGGTATGTGTGAATGAAATTATGAAAGGCAATGCCTGAATACTTACACAATCAAACTATTTGACACAAGACATGAAATGACAATCTAAAATAACCCATAAGGTTGAAGACACATTATACATATCGACACGACTGCTTTCTTCTTTCTTTGCTTTGCCTTTGATCTTCTCCTGATCACTTTTGAACTTCCGGCAATACCTTTTAATGTGCCCCTTCTTCCCACAATGATGAGCTTACCGGCAAATACCTTTTAATGTGCCCCTTTCTTACCCACAATGATGGCAACCATTTGGCAATCTGTTTGATTTAACCCTTGCTGCTTTATTGTTGGTTTAAGGAGAAAGCAGAAAAAATAAGAAAGAAGAAGGGTCTCTGCAAAGAAGGAAAATACTGGCCTGGGGCGCAGATGTTTTGTAAGTGTGGAGAAACCAAATATTCAGCTCTCATTAATTTCGCATTACAGAGGCATTAATGTAAATATTTTATTACTAGAAGTTATATTTTCTTCTAAGTTTGTTCACCAACTTTCCTCATTTTTTTTTTTTTTCAAAAAAGAAGTTTGTTTACCAAACTTCTATAGTGGAAGTTTGTTTTCACCTCTTCCTAAAAGCAAGTAGTTTCAACGTACTTCTTGACTTCACACAAAAGTAAAAAATCTAAATGTTTTATTTCTTCTCCTTTTTCTGCCAAAAACTGTCAACAACAATTTGGCATCAAATTTTTAAGGGCTTCAATGGAGCTGTAGCTGTTAACTTTAAACACTCCATCCTTGTGCAAGAGTTTGAGACAAAACCCCCCCCCAGCAAACACAAGTCCTATTTGTAACTTTAACACTCCTCCTTGATGCAAGAGTTGAGACAAACACCAAGTCTATTCCTAAGAAATTCAAATCTTGGTTTTTGCAATGCCTTGATGAAAACATCTGCTGTTTGACCTTCATAACTGCAATGAACAATCTGAATTTTATTTTCCTTTTCAGCTTCACGCATTGCATGGTACTTGATTTTTGTATGCTTTGTTTTTCTATGCAAGATTGGATTTTTAACCATAGCAACAGCTGATTTGTTGTCACAAATTATTTTAGTTAGATTCTCTTGATGAAAATTCATAATCATCTTCAACTCCTCCTCCATGGCAGCTCTCCACTCAGGCAATTTTAAGGCTTCATCCATTTGAGTTGGTTCAAGTGAGACAACATTACATCTATTGTAAATTTCTTCTAGGGATCTTGTTCCTCTAATTGCATAATATTCTTCATCTGATTCTTCTTCATTATCAATTGGAAGTTCTTACTTTTGCTGAAAATTATCTTGTTCAAGAACTGATTTAGAATTTCTTGGCTCCATTTTACTCCAATCCCATTCGCATATCTCATCGAATTTGACATTCTTGCCGACATATACCTGTTTAGTAACAGGATTCAAAATTCTGTAGGCTTTGGATTCATTGTTGTTTTCAACTACTGATGGCAAATCAGCAACTAACTTCTTGGATTGTAGTAATTTTAATGAATTGAAATTAGTGTGACCAAGTCTCTTATGCCACAAATCAGATTCTTCTTTATGACTCGAGCAAGATTCTTCTTCGAAGTTTCTTAAATGTAGAGGAAAGCTTCTCCATTTCATTTTGATTGCAAATAACTTTGAGCCAGAAGAATCACTTATTTCACAAGTTTTATCTTTAAATAGCAAACTATAATTCTTATCCAGCAATTGACCAACCGAAAATAAGCTTTGATTTAGCTCAAGTACATAAAGAACATCGGAAACAAGATTTGTACCTGAAGGAGTTTGTACAATCACAGCTCCTTTGCCTTTGACATCAATAAGCCTCCCATCTCCAAGTCTGACTTTTGAAGAATAGTTTATATCCAAGCTATCGAAATTCACCAAGTAAAGAATAGGTTATATCCAAGCTATAAATCGGAAATTCACCAAGAGTGTTGGTGTCAATGTGGAAGCTATCGAAATTCACCAAGTTTGGTGTCATGTGGTTAGTGCAGCCACTATCAACAAGCCATGCTTTTTTAGCTTCAATTGAGACATCACATTTTTCGATTTCTTTTGCAGCAAATAGTTGTTCTTCATACTTTTCAGAATTTTCGGTAACTTGTGCATGATGGGCTTGTTTTTGTTGATTCTGGTTTGTAAAACAAACTTTTTCAGTGTGACCAAATTGCTTACAAACCTTACATTGAGCTCCAGGTCTGAACCAGCAGTAGTTCTCAATATGATTTGTTTTTTTGCAATGTGGACAAGGTGGAAATCTATCCTTCCTCCAATTTTTTCTGAAATTCTTCTTCATTTTTGGTTGTTGAGTCACTTCTTCTTCCCTATAGGCTTTTTTTTGTTCTACATCTTTTAGAGCATTTGAAAGCACATTCAATGATATTTGTGACATGTCCCAAGTATCTTCAAGAGAAGAAATCTTGGCTTCAAATTTTTCAGGGAGAGTCACCATAACTTTCTCCACAATTCTCTTTTCTTCTAACTCTTCTCCCAACAATCGAATTTGGTTTACAATTTTCATAACTCTATCAACGTAATCTGTCACCTTTTCATTATCCTTCATTTTCAACATTTCAAATTATTTTCTTAAATTAAATACCTGCACCTGTCTAGTTTTTTCAAATCCATGATACTCAATTTTTAACTTCTCCTAAGCTTCATGTGCTATCTCACATGTCATAATCTTGGTGAAGATAGGAACCCGTGGCAGCCTGTCTAGTGTTTTTTTCAAATCCATGATTAACTCCAATTTTTTAAAAACTTCTCCGCTTAAGCTTCATGTGGCTCATCTCAGCATGTCAGTAATGCGTTGGTGAGTATAGGATCTGGCAAGCAAGCTGGCAAATGGATATAGGGACGAAAGAAGCTGTTTAAGCCTTAGCAACCTCTTCTTTCCATGTTGTCTAATGTTGAAGTGGAAGGGTTGGAAATTTTTGCTTAAGTAGGTGGAGGACTTTATTTTTTTCGTATTTTTTACTGTTCTACTCTGTTTTCTCCACAGTAGCTGCCATAACTAAGCCCTTTTGAAATAAGCTCTCATCTTTCACAGCCCAAACATGGTAGTTTTTTCCCCCAATTAAGAAATGAGGGCGGTGAAAGAGGACATAGTGGCTAGAGACCGGAGGAAAATAGAAGATGTAGTTATAGAATTACATTTGATAAATAGGCATCTTATGGATTCAAGTTAAGACCTTGTTAATGTTGGTTTAGAAGAGCAGAAAATTAAGGAAGAGAATAAAAATTCTGCAGAGAAGGAAAATTCTACAGATTCTGTAAGTATGGAAAAACAAATATTCACATCTCATTATATTCATTATAGCATAATGAAGACAATTATACTAAAGCTATTAAGGAAGAGAAGGAAAATTCTGCAGATTCTGTAAGTATGGAAAAACAAATATTCACATCTCATTATATTCATTATAGCATAATGAAGACAATTATACTAAAGCTATTCTAAAGTTTATTCACCAACCTTCCATAAGTCAAAGAAGTTTGTTCACCAAACCTACCTAAAAGCAAGGTAGTTCGCCTACTTCTTGACTTGAACAAAGTCAAAAGAAGGGTGTGTTCCACAGCCAACTCTAAGCCTAAGAAGCAAGGTTAGTTTCAACTACAGATCTTGACTTTCAGACAAAGTAAAACAGAAAAGAGATCTAAAAAAAGTGACTTTAACAAAATTTTATCCAAAAACTTGTCAACAAAAAAAATCTAAATGACTTTAACAAAATTTATCCAAAAACTGTCAACAACACTTGCATCAATTTTAGCTTCAATGGAGCTGTAGCTGTAACTTTAACACTTATCTCTTGCATTTGAACTTCTAGATTGACTCCTTCATCTGGGATGATTATTTCTTTTAGCATCTGCTATAAGAATGTCTGACTGAGATAAAGAAGGATTTTGTGCTTTGCGTCTCATTTCTTCATTCAGAACAGCATTTTTAACAAATTTTCAATTAACTCCACTATATGGTGCAGAGTTTATTATTGATATCTTCAAAGTCTCCCAAGACTCTGGTAAGGAGGCAAGCACCATAAGCTGAGAATTTTATCATCAAATTTTATGCCCATATTTGATAGCTGGTGAATAGTCGCCTGCATTTCACTCAAGTGATCTGCTACAGAAGTACCTTCTTGGTATTTGAAATTCATCCGCTTCGTCAAATAAAACAATTGGTTGTTATCGGATTTTGAGACATATAACTCTTCAAGCTTGTCCCATAATGTTCTAGCATGAGTCTCGTTGCAAATGTGGTTGTATACATTATCATTGACAAATTGTCAAATATAGTCGCAAACTTGCTCATGCTCGAAAGCCCATTCACTTGAACCAAACACCGGCAGATGCATTTTGATTACCATAAGGAGATCTCTCATTTTATTTCTCCATATATGGTAATTTGTGCCATTTAGACTGATCATTTTGCTCGTTCTAGCTTCTATGACTTTTGAGTGAATAAAGATGCATTTTTGGATTACCATAAAGGAGATTCTCTCAATTTTAAAAATTTCGTCCATATAGGTAATTTTGGATTTTATTTCTCCATATATGGTAATTTGTGCCATTTAGACTGATCATTTTGCTCGTTCTAGCTTCTATGACTTTTGAGTGAATAGTAACCGTATATGTGAATAGTATCAATATACGAGAATAGTAACTGTACACGCAAATAGTACTATACGTGAATAGTATCTGTATGCGTAAATAGTACTATACGTAAATAAGTCGATTCTGCAACATCTTTCCTAGCGGACAGCACCAATGGACTCGTCGTAATATTCTCTTCGTCGTGGTATATTTATTTTCAAAATATATCCACGGATCCGGTACCGCTATCTGACCGGCTTGACCTACCGAAACCTTAGGCTCTAATACCACTTGTTAGGGCACCGGCAATAAAATTACCTAGGCCCGAAACCTTAGGCCTCTAAATACGCCACTGTGTTTAGGGCAACCGTGGCAATGAAATTATCGAAAAATAATTTACGGGCAGAAGGCGGAAAAAATGAAATG